AATATTTAATTAAAATTTTTGCTGTTTTTCACGGTTAGTTTTTCAGATATTTGGAATTTACGAAAATGGACTGACTGAAGTTAGTATGTAGATTAAACAAATATTAGCTTAAGACCACTGAAATCTCATAAAAACTATTTTTCTTTTTTGTCCATAATATATCTTGAAACATTGGCAAAGGGAACGATCTAACAACAGCTAAAAAACAGAAAATAACAAAGTCATTGAGTGAGGGAATATCCACATTGGAGATATCAAAGGGGCTTTGCAGGGATCATCAAATGATAAGGAAGGTTTTTGTAAATATAAGTTGAGAACTCGAAGCAAAGGAAAAGTCTTTAAGAACTTGATTCCTCGAGATGAACATAAAATAAAGCGAGTTATAACGAAACAACCACTTTTAAACAGCGGTCAGATTTCTTTTTAAAAATGTTGGAATTGAGTCAGTCAAGAATGACAAAAGGTGTAGAATACTTTGTGAATTGGGACCTGCAATAGTTATGGGCTGGAATTGTCGATTAAACCATTATTTTGCCATTCAAAATCGATGAAAGATTTAAACTGAACAGTACTAACAATTGAGATTTTATGAATAAGACTTTCTTTGCATGGTACAAGCAACCTCCTCTCACTAAAATATTTTAAAGCGTCAAAACTAGGCAGAAAATACATGAAAATTTACATTTCCAAAATAATTTTCACGGCGAATCACGATGGACCTGATGGATGGGCTAAAGGATAGATTTTATCAAATTCAGACAACAAGGAGGCGGTAGTGTTATGATATGGGCTGAAATTGTCGATTGAACCATTATTTTGCCAATTGGAATTGAAGGAGTCAAGAATGACAAAAGGTGTAGAATACTTTGTGAATTGGGACCTGCAAAAAAATCTCCGAAGTAACCTCCTCTCACTAAAACAAATATTTTAAAACGTCAAAACTGAGAAGAAAACATGAAAATTTACTTTTCTAAACTTTCACGGCGAATCACGATGGACCTGATGGATGGGGTAAAGGATAGTTTTTTTTTCCAACTCAGACAATAGGGAGGCGGTAGTGTTATGATATGGGCTGGAATTGTCGATTAAACCATTATTTTGCCATTCAAAATCGATGAAAGATTTAAACTGAACAGTGCTAACAATTGAGATTTTATGAATAAGACTTTCTTTGCATGGTACAAGTTCAAGTCTTGTAGTTTCAAAGTGAAGGGGGGTCTCTATTGCAACGTGACTAAGAAAGAATATATCACAACCTCCCCTGGACCACACGAGTTGAAGTCCCTAAATAATAAATACATCAAAAGATTTGAGGGCTTCAAATATCATGGATCTCAATATATTCTCAAAATAACTTCAGCATCCGTAAAGCTCTTGCCTGGGATGCGTGTAACAGACTTCACAAGATTTGGCTGTCAAATCTTCCATCCTCCTTAAAAGGTCAAAGCTTTCGAACACAGATTGAACCAGTCCTAGTATATGGATCAGAAACTTGGACATTATCTGTTCGCCTTGAATGACGACTGGATGGAACATATATAGAAATCTACTCAGAAAAATCGAGAACATCAGTTGGAGATCCCATGCAACCCTTAACATAATTTACGGAGGACTGAGACCAAGCTCTAACTTTAAACCAAAATGATTAATTTTTGCTGTCCACTGCCATCGAGTGGACATTGAAATTGTCTTATCCTTACTCCTGTCTTCTCACGAATATTGACATTCCCAGACACTATAGCTGGGGATTCAGGGTTAGACATTAAGGATCTGGGGTCGGCAATGCAGGACCGAAGATTTATGGAGAGGGATTCTCAATGGAGTTCCGACCAAACATAGAGAAGTCAAAATATGATAATGATGATGATGAGATATGGAGCAATAAAAGAGAGAAAGAGAAAGAGAGAGAGAGAGAGGGAGAGAGAGAGAGAGAAAGAAAGAGAAAGAAAGAGATATAAAGCAATAAATGAGAGAGAGAGAAAATGTAAGAGATATGAGTTTACCGGCCACTGCTACTGAGCAGTAAGGAAAATTGTCTCATCCGTACTCCTATGACATCCTTCTCGAAGTGTCTTCTCACGAAAATTGATTTTCCAAGACAGCATAGTTCGCGACTCACGGTTGGACATTAGAGATCTGTGGACAGCAATGCAGGACCGAATGGGATTGTCAAATTAGTTCCGACCAAAGGTCAAAGGATGATGATGATGATGATGATGAGATATGAAGCAATAAAAGAGTGAGAGAGAGAGAGATAGAGAAAGAGAAAGAGAGACAAAGAAAGAGATATAAAGCAATAAATGAGAGAGTAAGAGTTATTAATGAGATGAGTTTGTCGGCCACTGCCACAGAACGGACAGGGAAATATATATATATATATACACGCACGCGTGCGCGCACACACACACACACACACACACACATATATATATATATATATATATATATATATATATATATATAACTGTCAACCCGCCAATACAGAACCGAACTGTGTGGAAAAGGATTGTCCATGGAGTTCCGACCAACCATAGGGAGGTCGAATGGTGATGATATTATATATATATATATATATATATATATATATATATATATATATGTAATATTAACTGCCACCGAGCGGTCAGGGAAATCGTCTCATCCTTACTCCTATGGCATCCTTCTGGAAGTGTCTTCTCACGAAAATTATGATGAAAACTACCATGTTGGAAATTGAACCGGCTGAAGTACAAAAAAAAAAAGATAAAATCAATGGATAATATATTAATGGCTGTTATTAAGAAGGGTCACTATATTATAATGCAAAGGATATCAAAGACTTAACCTATGTGTTTCGTATTTGTTCTATTATAGGTGATGCTAAATTTTTGATGATTTTATTACCTTTTCATTGAAGTAAAATGTAATTATTAGATTTTATGTAATAACTTCTGATGGCGATTTTTTTTAATGCATCAAATAAATTCAATAACTTCAATGAAACATAAATACCGCCTAAAATTTTAACTCAGGCTTTGTTTTGACATCTAAATTGATTGGTTAAAATTTGACAATTTTTTTTTCAAACCAAATTTGAATTATACAAATTTATATGATTTGCTTAATAACTTCGGACAGGGTGAATTTTGGTTTTCGAGGCATTGAATATTAACAATCGAATTTTTATCCACTGGGTAGTTTGGGGAAGATCGAAAGAAAGGAAAGTCGCCAAGGTCTGAACATTAAGACATTTATAGCATTTTTTTTTTTTACTGTTCTCTGTATTCAGATAAGAATCGGCATCATCCGTCAGACTGTTATAATTTTGTTTTACCATGTAGAGTAATTTAAATATCTGACAATTATTCGAACTATCATCCTCATCTTTGTTGCCATATTGATCACAACGTTTCAAGTGTTTGGAATGTCGAACTGAAGCCTTTATTTCACTCGCTGGGGTAGACTGTTCTAGTTCCACGTGCCATGTCTAATGGATGTCAGTTATCAGCTATCTCACCTCTCCGAATCCTCCACTGCCTTAACCAGGTATTGAATTCACACAGTCACTGGATCTAACCAACGACTTTATCCACTGTGTCATGTGTCCTTAAGGACATCAATGTATGAATTTCTGAGACTTATAAAACCTATGTCCTCAGCAACCATTTTTACCAGTGTTCATATTGCAATTTTCGTTGTTATTATTTCTTTTCTTTGGCACGCCTTATTACTGGTCCCCATATTGTATTCATTTCTATGCTCGGTCGGCTCAGGAGATTTTTGTGGCCTAGACTATGTGCTGATTCCTTAAGTTTACGAATTTTCTAATGATGTTCTTTGTCTATGATTTCAACCTGATCCCACAGAGGGCGGTGATATCCCCTTTCTCTCCCTATGTGCTCAGTCACGCCTGAATTTTCCACTTCCCCTATAGCTTGTGGTGTTCTTGAAGCCTTACCTTAAAGAGGTGGCTCGTCTCCCCTTTATATTTCTTTCTGTCATGTGTTTAAACAGAGGACAGAAAATGCGACAACGAAATTCGAACGCGTATTGGATTAGTAAAAATGTTTTCCAAAAGCTAAGGAAAGTATTAAGAAACAGGAAAATCGCGTTAGACACAAAGAAATGAGTAATGAATTGCTATGTGATGTCGATCGTCTTGTAGGGTAATGAATGCTAGATATACTCTCTACAGATGAAGAGAAAACAGGAATTAGCAGAAATGGTGTTTTAGGTAAGTTACTGAGATTTCTGCTGAGAAAATGGTAACAAAAACAACACTTGTATCCAGAATAAGAAAAAAAATTGAAATTCCTTTGACACATAAGGTTAGAACTGGTAGAACCAAGGAATGTAGTTCGTCTGAGCACTTTCCATGAAAGTAGCAATAGAGCATTTAGAGGATATCCACATCCCGCTTGTGAGAGAGAGGTTGGAGGCTGGAAATTATTTGTCGCCTACAAGGACTATCGAAACAGTGGGTCCTAGTCATGAAGGTTAGAACTGGTAGAACCAAGGAATCTAGTTCGTCTGAGAACTTTTCATGGAAATAGCGATAGAGAAGTAAGAGGCTTCCCACATCCTGTTCCTGAGAGAGAGGTTGGAGGGTGGAAATAATTCATCACACACTTGGTGGGCTTGGAAACAATCAATTCTCATAGGGCACATCGATTGAAAGAGAGAAAGGTAGCGGGCCATCGACGATTTTGTGCGAATGGCTGGACGGTGGGAGCGGTGGTTAGTCAAGGGAGAAACGCTGCTGAGAGCAACAAAGGATATGAATTTGTGGCGAGACTGATCGCCCACGTACTAAAGGGGCACGACACAGAATGAGTGTATAGAAGAGAGACGTAAAGCATGAAGCACTTTAGAAAGGCATGGATCAACCACTCCGTGTTGTCTTCTTTTGTATACTTCTTGACAGTAATTGATGCCTGAATACTAGAGAAAACCAATCCCGCATGAAAAAACTCACATTGATACAGAAATTAGATATCTGCTAGGCCTAATGCAGCCTACGCATGATTCAAATCGTTCTTGCCACCACAACACGGTATCAATTAACAAATAAATATCTGTCAGATTATATATATATATATATATATATATATATATATATATATATATATATATAATAATAAGGCTTAAACACTAATATTCCATGGTCATAATTTATTCCATTGGAATCGTAAATACGATCCAATTCATCAAACCTACAAATTCAAAAAGAAAACAGAAAAAACAACCCCGGAAATAAAAATAGAATTTAGAGAGAGAGAGTAAGTGTGAGAGTGTGGGACGAATGATAGAGCTAAAGAGAGGGGTAACAGACGAGAGAAGGAGGGAGATTAAAGCTTAACAGATTATTTTAGTAAAGATATAATAAATGTATGTATATATATATATATATATATATATATATATATATATATATATATATATAGCATCATTAGACATACCAGTTAGTTCACTAGCTCGGTCACTAAATCTTCTTTCAAAATCTACCACAATTATAACTGTAGCAGTCATAACAATTTACCTGTTATAATGTACACTATGTCAGAAACAATGTGGGAAAATCTGAATGACCTTTTCACTACAGAATTTATAATTATCGAAATCGGATTAAGTAGGATTCCCACGAAAGATTATTATATTTAGATCAACATTTCCGCCTAGAAAAACATGATTTTAAAAGCTATGCCAAATTCACTATAGCTGAAAAAATAGAAATAAACAGAAAAGATAACATTAGAAAAATACTAGAAGTACATGAAGACAAATGGATTTTGCGCCTCAAAACTAAAAATTAAACAGCATAGATTGAATTAATATATAACTCCATGAATTAAGCCCTAGCCAATTTTCTCATCCACACAAGACAGACATGCTTGTAGATGTGTTGATGTCTCACACTTATACACACACTCAAACAAATATATACACATACACACACGCACACACTCTCAAAGAATTAAAAGATGACATACACTTAACAGACACTTTCCATTCCGAACAACTAATAAAACTGTCAAAATGACCAAGGGGGGAATTCTTAGTCAGTAATCTCCTCATTCTCTATCTTAAAAACAACTTGAAAGAGGCCGTTTGACCAACACAAGGACTAACCAAAATTAACGATAGAAAATGAAAACTATAAAGTTTACTTTCTTCAGAAACAGTCATTTACTCCTGTAGATTCATTTGTGAAAAGTTCCATTAAAATAATTAAATAGATTATAGTCATAAATCAATTAACTATATCAGTTACATCAATACTTCCTTCAGAGGTCATAAAAAGATATTTAGCCACCTACAATCCAAAAAATCTCATAAGAAAAATTCTGGTTGGTAACACATGATCCTTCATAAATCCTATAACCAAGAACATCTCATTGTGAGAGAAGCCGTCTACATAAAACATCTGGCACCCTGTATTAATCTTATTTTATTTAACAATGGAAACAGTGGGCTAGAGAATTTTTTAAAACAGAGGGACGCCATCTTTTATTCCATCCACGTTCCTTTCGCTGGGCTCGGAATAAACGCTACTCTCATACAATACGCATCACACAATTGCATCTAAAATGTCAACCGTGATAAAATAAATTTAATAACAACAACCTCCTGAAACTGTCTCAATAAATGACCGAAAGCGATTGGGACAATAAATATTACGGACAACTTTTATATTCTCTTACCCCATCAAGTGGAAAAAAATTTAAGAATACTAGAAAACTTCACTAAAAATTAATTTAAATTTTCCTTGTCTGTCATATTGAACGTCATACGGTTGAAAAACTTGCTACTCAAATATACATTATATATATATATATATATATATATATATATATATATATATTTGGTTGATTTATGTGATTTTGTGCCCTGGGTTTTCACGCTTTTGTGATCGTCAGACAAACTGGTTTGTCTGACGATCGCCAAAGCGTGAAACCCAGGGTCACAAACTCACATCTATCCAACCAAATATGTTAGCTCTATCTCTGATATTGGGCGCTTTCTAATAAGTACCGCGCATATAATATATAAATAATTATACACACACACACACACACACACACACACACACACACACACACATATATATATATATATATATATATATTTCAATATAGGTGCAATTATAATTTATAAATTCATGAATCATTCATGCAAAAAACAAATATAGAGGTTAATGATTTAAATGGCGAGAATACATCCTCGCAAACAATATAAATAAGATACATCAACCCCGAACCTGTATATGAATGATATGATCCCCGTTTATAAATTCCAGTTGCATAAGGTCTTTTTAATTTTTTAAAATAGAGATGTAATCCGAAAAATGCTATGAGAAATGTGTTACTGTTTTGGGACATTCATATACAGGTTCGGGGTTGGTGTATCTTTTTGATATTGTTTGCGGAGATGTATTCTCGCCATTTAAATCATTAACCTCTATATTTATTTTTTGTATGAATGATTCATGAATATATATATTTATATACACATTTTCACACACACACACACACATATATATATATATATATATATATATATATATATATATATATATATGATATGATTGGTATATACGGAATGAATTCCAATAACCAACAATTACTATTCTTAAAAAGAGTGCTCAATACAAAGTAGAGCAGATATAATTATTTTTTTTATAAAAAATTATAACATAAATATGTTATAAAATCACTACAAAAATAGCCATTTTGTTTCAACACTCTCAGTGTCTTATCAAGTGATGATGTTGAATGTAAAATAAATGGATTTAAAAGTTTCAATTAATTAACAATCCTTCGCAAGGGGAAAACGTTGTTACAAAAAGCTAGATGGACCAATCAAAATACAAGTATAGGAAAAATTCAAAAAGCTTGACAACGAAGTCATATTATAATAGCTATTCAAATATTTAAAATATGGGTAGTATTAAAAAATTTATTCTAATCAATAATTACTAAATTATATGATAAAATTTAATATTAAAATTAAAAAACTGCTAATTTCAAGATCAAAATTTAATCGCTATTAAGTTTACTGAGGAAAAGAAGAAATATATATGTTATTCAATTTAATTCTTCATTGAAGTTACTTTAGCTAATTTTATATCCGGTCTTTTGACAATGTATCCATTTTAATCCTAAGAGTGTGTGAATGGGGGTCCTAAACTCACGCGTAAAACAAACGCAATCAGATTATAATATCTAAGCACCCAGACATATTTAAATATATATACACACACAAAAAAAGGAGACGAGACAGAGAACATCGCCACGATCGTATAAAAAAAGAAAAAAAAAAAGAAGAGAAGGGTGGGGGGGGGAGTTAAAGAAACCAACGCACACGTACATACATACTCTATTAAAAGTGAATGCACTTTCATACACATAGACAATTATAAATACATGCACACACATCCACATACATTGACCCAGACAATCGGATACAACAACCAATAAATATTTAAGACTGAAAGTGTCATGACATAAATTCTCATCATTTACTGAAATATAACTTAAGCGAGCAAATATACAGAGATAAAAATGATTAAAAAAAACATATTATTTAATATATTAAATTAGTGTATGTAAATATAAAATCGGACGTCAAAGTCAACACCTATAGGTAACTTCGATGTCCACCTCACACACATACATATATATATATATATATATATATATATATATATATATAATTATTTTTATAAAAAATTATAACATAAGTATGTTATAAAATCACTACAAAAATAGCCATTTTGTTTCAACACACTCTGTGTCTTATCAAGTGATGATGTTGAAAAGAAAATAAATGGTTTTAAAAGTTTCAGATTAATTAACGATCCTACACTGGGGGAAACATTGTTACAAAAGCTAGAATAACCAATCAAAACCAAGTATAGAAAGATTCAAAAGCTTGACAACGAAATCATGTTATAATAGCTATTCAGATCTTTAAAATACGTGTAATATTAAAAATAATTTATACTAACCAATAATTATAAAATTATATGATAAAATTTAATATTAAAATTAAAAACTGGCAATTTTAAAATCCAAATTTAATCACTATTAAGTTTAAAAACTACAAAATTATTGAGAAAAGAAAAAAAATATATATATTTATTCAATTCATTTCTTCATTGAAATTACGTTCGACAAGGACGCTACAATATATCCGGTCATTTGACAATACATGTATATATATTTCTTTCTTTTCCCCTTCTTTTCCTTTTTTATTTTAAAGTGTGTGAATGTGGTCTTAAACTCACGCGCAAAACAACAAAAACACAATCAGATTATAATACATAAGCACCCAGACATAATTAGATATACACACACACACACACACACAAACACACACACACAGGGGGAGACATGAAACATCTCTACAGACCTTTATGAAAAAAGAGAGACGTGGAAACCAACACTTATACACACACACAGTTAAATGTGAATACACTCTACATACACATAGACACCGATAGATACACATACATACATCCACAGACAATGACATAGACAATCAGATACCACAACCAATAAATATTTAAGACTTAACGTATCACTGAATAAATGCTAACCACTTATTAAATTATAACTTAAGGGAGCAAATATACAAAGATAAAAATGGTTAAAAATAATATTATTTAATATATTAAAACGAAAATTCCAAAACCATAAATATAAATAAAAATATATATTAATCATATAAGTTGATAATAGTTTCATTATATATTAGGCAAAGAAAAACAGGATAAAGAAACCCACAGATACATATATATATATATATATATATATATATATATATATACGCGGCAGCAAACACAAATTAACACACATAAACATACACTCATACATACATATACATACAGAAATACATACAAATAAATATATGAACATAAACATATACGCACATATACATATCTATGATAACAAGTACACATGCACACACATATACATATAAACCTAAATACACACATATATACACAGATTTTTATGCACACATACTTACATATATAAAAACAGTCATGATATACCAAAGTTTCCATACCCACACATACACACAAACAAACTCATACATAATAAGTGCCAACACACACACACATATATACATACACAAACATACATAAATATATATACACATACATACATATCTACAAATAAACATATATATAAATATATCTATCTACAATAACAACTACCAATATATACATGCATACATAAAAATACAACAACACTCAACCAAATACATATATAAACGTACTAACATACAAACACACACCAATATACATATACCCTAACATACAAATATATAAACACATTCATACAAACAGAAATATACTTAAATATAAATATAAATATACATACACAATGAACTAGGACACATACAGATATATACATATATACACACACAGATATATATATACACACATACACACACACATACGAACACACATACATATGTATATATATATATATACAAATATATCGTGGCACAAAGCCGAAATTAGGGGGTACCCAGTGAGGAACGAACTCATTACTCAGTCGCAATTATATATACACACACACACACATATATATACACACACACACACCCACACACACACACATATATATATATAAACAAAAAACAAAAAAAAAACAAATAAATACACTTATACTCAAACCTACGCATTCCTCAGTGCAAATACTCTAACCAACACATAAATAAATATATACACATATACACCAACACTAATAACACTATGCAGGTAAACAATACACATTTATATCGTAAGTATGACCATCATGCAATAAAAATACTAATCTATTAAAAATACAGCGACATATCATTATCATTTAAAGTATACGACCCCGACACTAAGTTAAATTTATAACGGTGTTTACTATTAACAGTAAGTTCATATCTTTGATTTAAGAGATCAGCCTTGTTTTTAAATCTAATAATTTCAAATTTTTCATTAAGGCATAGGTAACATGGGGTATATAGGGAGTTACATGTACGAGCTTTCTTAACCAAACTCCATTTAACCGTAGGTGTTTTGTTCTTATCTTTTAGATTCCAAAAATACTTGGATAATAAAGTCATGTACCTATATTCACTGTGATTAAAGGATTGCATATGCCCCCGCCATATATATATATTTATATTTATATACACACACTTTTCACACACACACAAACACACATGCACACACAAACACACATGCACACACACGTATATATATATATATATATATATATATATATATATATATATATATATATATATATATATATATTCGTGTGTGTTTAATCGGTATATGTAAGGCAGTAAAGCCACTAAAACGCAAGGTCTTAAAGGGTGTGGAAGAATTAGGAACAGAAACATTAATAATGAGCAGGAAGAGGAAAAGAGTAATCAGTATGACAGTAGATAGCGATTGGCATTGCATTTAAATATTTGAAGAGTAAAGTTAGATAGAAAGCATGGAGTTGGAAGGGAGTTCTATAAGTAAGGCAATAAAGCCACTAAGACACAAAGGGTTACAGGATGTGGAAGAATTAGGAACAGAAACGTTAATAGTGAGCGAGAAGAGGAAAGAGTAATTAGAAGGACAGTAGATAGAGATTGACATTATATTTAAATTTTTGCAGATTAAAGTTGGCTGGAAAGGGAGTTCCACAAGCGAGAAGTGCGAGAAAAAAGTATTAGTATAGAACCTACATCTAACCAGCTCAACCAGTGCTCATATTGCAATTTTTGTTTAAACGAAATATAATAACAACAAAAATTGCAATATGAGCTCTGGTAAAAATATGATTGATAACAGCAAAAGCTGCAATATGAGCACTGGTAAAAATGGTTGCTGAAGACATTAGGTTTATAATACCAAGAAATTCATACACTCGAGGACACATGGCACAGTGGCTAAAGGCGTTGGTTATATCCAGTGACAGGACCCAAAGAGTGTGAGTTCAATACCCGGTTAAGGCAGTGGAGAACTTTCAGAGGGAAATTAACAGGAGAAAACTGATAACTGACATCCATTAAACATGGCACGTGGAACTAGAACAGTCTACCCCAGTGTGCGAAATAAAAGGTTCAGTTCGACATTCTAACCACCTGAAAGAAGGCCGGAGCGTACAACGGCCGAAACATTGTGATAAATATGGCGACAAAATGAGGACAATCGTCCGAATAATGTAAATAAGACTTCTATCTATCTCTTTCTTTTTCAGGAAATTTGTAACGCCCTATCTCGATACAATCTATCTATCTATCTATCTATCTATCTATCTATCTATCTATCTATCCCAGTCTTTCATATCTATCTATCTATCTATCTATCTATCCCAGACTTTTCATATCTATCTATCTATCTATCTATCTATCTATCCCAGACTTTTCATATCTATCTATCTATCTATCTATCTATCTATCCCATTCTTTTCATATTATCTATCTATCTATCTATCTATCTATCCCATTCTTTTCTATCTATCCCATCTTTTCTATCTATCTATCTATTTATCTATCTATCCCATCTATCTATTCATTCTTTCATATCTATCTATCTATTTATCTATCTATCTATCTATCTATCTATCTATCTATCCCATTCTTTTCATATCTATCTATCTATCTATCTATCTATCTATCTATCTATCTATCTATCTATCTATCCCAGGTCTTTCATTTTCTATCTATCTATCTATCTATCCTATCTTTTCTATCTATCTATCTATCTATCTATCTATCTCAGCCAAATCTGTTCATTTTCCTGTTTTTCTATCTATCTATCTTTCTATCTTTCTTTATCTTTCTAGTCAATTCTGTTCATTTTCTATCTATCTATCCCTCTATAGTTCTATCTATCTCTCTATCTATCTATCTATCTATCTATTTATCTTTCTAGTCAGTGAGTAGTTCATTTGAATCTAAACCTATCTATCTATCTATCTATAATTTCTATCTATCTAAAAAAAAAAAAAAAAAAAAAAAAAGATCAAAATATCTATCTGTTTATCTATCGATCTTTCAAAACTAATCTATTCACTGTACAAAAGCCATCTATCTACCGGAAATCTGTTCATTTTCTATCTATCTATCTATCTATCTAAACATCTATCTATGGCGGCCAGACAGGTCTGTTTATTTTCTATTCATCTATTCTATCTATCTATCTATCTATCTAGCCCATTGTCCAATCATTCATTTTAAGGTCTATCTTTCTATCTATCTATCTATCTATAATTAATCTATCCAGGTCTTGTTCATTTTCTATCTATCTATCTATCTATCTATCTATTATCTATCTATCTATCTATCCAATTCTTTTGTATTTACGTTCCGTCATTTTATCTATCTATCTATCTATCTAAGATCTTTCTATCTATCTATTGCTATCTATCTATCCAGGTCTGTTCATTTTCTTCCGTGTCTATCTATTGTCTATCCTATCTAAAATTGATTATCTATCTATCTATTTATCTATCTAAACAATGAGTTTTTTCATTTTTTTTATTAATTTATCTATTACGATCTATCTATCTATCTATCGATAAAAATCTATCGGTTTTTATCTATCTATCTAGCCAGGTCTGTTCCTTTTCTATCTATCTATCTATTATCTATCTATCTATCTATCTTCTTTTCATTCTCTATTCTAGCCAGGTCTGTTCTTTTTTCATTATCTATCTATCTATCTATCTATCTATCTATCTATCTATCTATCTATCTATCTATCAGGTCTGTTCATTTTCTAAATATCTATCTAATCGAATCTATCTATCTATCTCATCTATTATCTATCTATCTCGACAAAAATTCATTTTCTATTTATCTGAATTTATCTATCTAAATCATTTATCTATCTTTTTTCATCTTTTAAATTCAATCTCATCATTAAATTTATTTTCTAATAATCAAATCTATCTATCTGTCTTTCATCTATCTATCTATCTATCTAGAAGGGTCTTTTTGTTTTGTTAAAATATCTATCGTCCATTATCTTGTCTTATCTATCTAATTGTCTTTCTAAAATCTAGCCAAAAACAATATTCATTTTATTGATCTATTAATTTGATCTATTATCTATTTAAAGTCATAATTTATCTATTTAAACAGGTTATTTCAAGTTTAAAATATATCTATTTTTTTTATCTATCTATAGGTATTTTTTCTTCTATCTATCTGTTTCATCTATTGACAGTCTGATGGGTCTGTTCATTTTCTATGGAGATTTATCTATCTAACTATCTATCTATCTCTTGATCTATCTTTTTATCTATCTTTGAATAAATTTGAAAATCTCTTCATTTTCTCTATCTACTGAATTTCTATCTATGCCAGACTCTAGTTTATTTAAAATTTATCTTTTCTAATCTCTATCTCGTCTATCAAAAATAGACACGTCTATCTTATCTAAAAGGTAAATTCATTTTTAAAAAATATTGGTGTTTAATGAATTGTATTTAAGTTTTCCATTTATGATTATCTATATAGTTTTCATCTAATAATAATATAATCTAAAATGCTGAATCTATCTATCTATTTTAAAATCTTTAAAACTAATAATATTCTATCTAATTTTAAAAATGAAAATAATTCTTCTAAAATTCATTATTGATTGTAAAAAGACTATCTATCTCAATAGTATCTATATCTATCTATAAAAATCAGTTTCTCTGTTTTCTTTTAATCAATCATGGTTTTATTTCTTTCTTTTTATTTTTCATTCATTTTGCTTTAAATATATACTGTTGGTAATTTTATTATAAATAGGTTTGTTGGAAATTTTTATAAATAGGCTCTATCTATCTATCATTTTAGATGCTTTTTTTTATGGGTTATTTAATGCCGAAATCTAAAACCTCAGAAAATTTTATGTAATTTTCTTCCTTTATTTTGAAAAAAAAAAAAAAAAAAAAAACAGACAAAATCATAAACTGTTTTTTGATTTAAAACTAAAAAATTCATTCATTGTACAAAAGCCAGAAGACTATAAATATGTATTGTTTGTATTTTTTATTCGGAAGAGATGTATTGCTGGTATCTTTTTTATAAAAAAGACGGTTTCGTTTAATTTATTCAAGATTCGCCCTCTTTCCTCACTCTCTCGACCCCAATGAGTGCAAATCAACCCGTAAGGTCAATTTTTTAGCCTTGGGAACAACAGCAATTAAAAGGTGGTCTTCTTGTTTGTAGTCGCTGAAACGACTTTGGCAGCCCTCTCCAGGCGGTTTAGACTAGCATTATCACACTTCAACCTCAATTCTTTTGTATTTACGTTCCGTCATTTTTAAGAAATCAGAGTTGTATATCGGTGAAGAACTTTCAGGTCATAGTGCTTTGCTTCGGAATTCAAGAATTGCGGTTCAGTTGCTGACCGTGTGGAAAAATTGTAATCCTGCTCATAAAATTGATTATCACATGAATTTAGATTCAGCAGAAACAATGAGTTTTTGCAGTATTATTTTTTTATTAATTTAGAATTACGATCAGCATTTTATTAAGGCGATAAAAAACGAATCGGTTTTTTAACAGGAGTAGAGGTTTATCCTTTGTTCCTTGCTTAGGATTAAGTTTCTGGTTTCGTCGAAATTCTTTTCATTCTCTTTCGCTTCTAGTAGCCTCTTGCGTCTTAGTGGCATTATCGCCTTGCTAGGTGTAAATTGATTTAAAAAATGTTAAAACAAGGAAAAACAAAACAAATAAGAGCAGTATCAAATAAAAAATAACCTAATAATCGAATCGTGGTAATATCAAAACTCAGTACGATTATCCTAGGGACCTCGACAAAAAATGTGGTACCTAAGTTTTAAAATGAATTTTTAAAAATGAAAAATCATTTATAGAGGTTTTTTTTCAGTTTTAAATTCAAGCTCATACATTAAATTTATATTTCCAATAAGCAAAATACTTTTCTGTATTTCAAAAACTAGTTTAAATTGGCTGGAAGGAGTTTTTTTGTTGTTGTTAAAATAGCTGACTAGCGTCCATTGTTAGTTTTCTTTCATTGCAATGTAATTGTCTTTACTAAAAGTCTTCCAAAAACAATATATACTTTATTGAAACTTAATTTGAGGAATATTAGCTGATTTAAAGTATAATTAATCTGATTTGGAAACACATTATTTCAAGTTTAAAATATCGCAGAATTTTTTTTTTTATCTCGACAGTAGGTGTTTTTCTTTAACCTGACAGTAGCTGTTTCACGTGTTGACAGTCTGATGGCAGGTGTAATGATGTTCCATGGAGACTTTATCCGTAAAACATAATTTAAGAAAATGATGAATTGAGGTCTTTTAAAAATTTTTTAGTAAATTTGAAAATGTGCTGCCATTCTCTATTATGAATTTATAAATATTGATTTAGATTTTTCTATACAATTTAATCACTATTTTTTGGTAATGTGTAAGGTCGTCCGTACTTACAAAAATAGACACGTTTATACAGTTAAAAAAAAATTTAAATTTTTTTAAAAAATATTGGTGTTTAATGAATTGTATTTAAGTTTTCCATTTATGATTAGTATATATAGTTTTCACTTAATAATAATATAATCTAAAATGCTGAAATTAATATAGAATTTTAAAAGATTTAAAACTTAATAATTTTTTCTAGTTAAAATTTTTAAAAAATGAAAATAATTCTTGTAAAAATTCATTATTGATTGTAAAACGTTTCTTTCTTATGACAATAGTATCCTTCATATATCCTATCTATAAAATTTGTCAAAAACTTGTTTTTTTTTTCTTTTCTAAGGTTTTGGTTTTGTTGCATTTTTATTTTAAATCGTATATTTTTAAAATAAATATATACTTTTTCGTTATTTTATTATTCATGGGTATTGTTGGAAATTTTCGACTTTAAAAAAAATATTAAATTTATTGGCTGACATTGTTTAATGCATATCAAAAATTATTTCAAAATTTAATGCCGAAATTTAAATAATTTCGAACACACATTTTAAAATAATAATCAACTAAATATATTTTGAACTCAATTGTATAGCTCAACTAAAGATAAAATATATTGTTTTTATTTTACTATAAATATGGAACTGTTGGTAATTTTGACTATAAATATGATTGTTTGTATTTTTTATATAACGATATCCGAACTGGTAAAAAATTTTATTATAAAAATACATTTTAAGGTAGCGACATATGTTTAGTTTGGTGTTTCACTATTTGAAACCACTGAGCTGGGGCCCCAATGAGTGCTACCAACCCAAAATAAATGTAACTACCTCTAGGAACAACCAATTCAAACTAATAGGAAAAGACAACATGAAATTCTCAAAAAAGACAAGAAATTCAAAGAAGCCTTGATTATCAGATGGAGTTTACCTTCTGTAAAAAACACCTCCATGAAAATTATTAGAAATTCTCCAAATACAAGGACCTGGAGGCTAGATTAACAGGATTAAGGGAATAAACTTAAAATAAATAGTCATCAGAGTATTCCTTTTTAAAAAAAAATGGACAATTTTATTACAGAAATTTTAGTTTATTTATTATTATAAATACTTTAATTTTTATCATTAATACATCCCATATACTTATTAGAATTAGTACCTTAAATTTTTTATTCTTCTAGTACCTCAATTTTATTTTATTAGTAACTACAAGATTTTAAATTAGGAAATATAATTTTATTATCAACAACTTAAATTTTATTAATAATAATAAATTTTAATAATAATAATTTTTATAATAATATTAATTTTTTATTATTAATACCTCAATTTTTAACGTTTTACAATTTAATTTTTATTATTAATACCTTTTAAGGACAATGGCACAGTGGATAAAGGCGTTGGTTAATCCAGTGAAAAATACCCAAAGAGTGTGAGTTCAATTTTTTTTGGTTAAGCCAGTGGAGAAATTTTCAGAGTTTTATAAGCATATTAACTGGAAATAAAATTTCCATTAAACATGCTAGAGGAACTATTTATAGTCTACCCCGGTGGGACGAAATAAAATTTGTTCAATTCGCCATTCAACCACCTGAAGAACGCCGGAGCGTACAACGGCCGAAACGTTGTGATAAATATGGCGACAAAGATGAGGACAATAGACCAAATAATGTCTATTAATTTTTTTATTTTTATTTTATTTTTATTATTTTTTACCTCAATTTTTATTATTAAAAAACTGCAGTTTTTGTTTGTTAGTACCTTAACTTTTATTAAGGGTACCTTTTTTGTAACAGTTAAACTAGAGCGTGATTTAAGAAATTTAAAAATTAAAAAACGGTTTTTGACAATGTTCAACAATATTTCAATGATGTCGTCTGTCTTCTTCAAGTTATTGTTTAATAGATTTTTATTATAAAATTCAAATAAATATTGAAGGTTTTGTTTTGTCTTTGAAACATATTTGTTGGAATCATATTGAAAAATAAATAATTATTTTTGATGTGAAACTTTAAACGTATCGACTGTACTATTTTTAAAAATTATGATGTAAAAACTTGTAAGAAACTTTATTCCTTTAAAAACGATTCTAAAAACTTGTCCATATATATTCACACACACACACAAACACACACACACACACACACACTTAATGAAAATATGCTGCATATATATATATATATATATATATATATATATATAATTTTCATCCACAAGTTTAATCAATTTTGAATAAAAGATGCAAGTGACGTCTCATTACATTTAATTACACTTCGAATCAACAATGTATTTTTCCCTATTATCTATGAACAATTCTGTTTTCTATTAAGTCGCATGTGAATTCCATTACTGTAAAATTCTTTTTTCTTTGATTTTTTCGATAGAACTCAACAAATTTATTCACTCCAAAGATGCAAATACTTCATCTTTGTAGTGAAAACAAATTCAGAATGAAGGAGCAAGACCGGAAAATATAATAAATAATTATTCCCAACAAAGTTCTTCGGTCCTGATTTTTCTGTTAATGCTTTGAACGTCCTGATCAATTTATATTTTCAAATATTTTCTAGAGCAGGTCTTTTTCCCCTCATATATGGTTCAAACGCTAAATATATATATATATATATATATATTGCATTAGGTGGTAAGAATTCAAAGTGGATTATTCCTTGGATGTTCCAGACTGAGAAAAGAACCTTTTGACCATCATAAAGACTCGGCTGTGGCTGGGGTCCTTCCCTTTACCAATCCACTGTCTACGAAGATTACCATTTCGATAAAAGATTTAATTTTTTTTCGCCATTAGTTAAATCTATCCAAAAATCTATCCAAAAAGGTGTTTTTCAATTGGCAAGAAGTTTCCTTTGAACTTGAGGTTGTTTTATAAACAATTCATGAGGCTTGTTTTCCAA